TCAATCATAACCCGGTCTCAAGTCCTCTAGACTGGCCCATCATCAGCACACAGAAATCACATCTCACACTTCATCCATAGAATCACAAGCCGTCGACGTACAACTGATACCGAGCGCTCATGTGCGCATACGAATGCGTGGAAGGAATTCAAAGAGTTATGTTTCAAGCTGAATCAATTCTGCACGATGAAGAAAGAAAGATGGAAAATTATCCTAAATTTCATGTAGCCTCTCAAAGATAAGTATGGACGCCATCATACCGATCCGCAGGACTCTACTAGACATTTGCTCATGACTTGTAGAATCTATGAACCTAGAGCTCTGATACTAACTTGTTACGACCCAAAATCCAACTAGTCATGATGGCACCTAACCCAACCCGCTAGGTAAGCGAGTTAATAACTATCCAATTCCAATAATATTTAATAAGACAATTAAGTAAAAGAAATTATCTAAATCTTATACATTTTCCAAGGACTGGTAGTACAAATCATGAGCTTCTAAGAATAGAATTTACAAAGTTGGTATGAAATAAATACATCATCTGTTCGAAATGTACATAAACAGATTTTTTTGAATCTAAGGCTACCATGAATAAGAGGCAGCTACCACCGGGATGCAGGTACATCTTCAAATTCGTCTCTCGTCGATCACAGCAACATCAACATCCAATATCTGCACGCAAGGTGCAGAAGTATAGTATGAATACAACCGACCCCATGTACTCAATAAGTAACAAACCTAACCTTAGGTTGAAAGTAGTGACGAGTTGGAACAAAGGTCCGGTCCAACACCAATAGCCAACAACAGTCCATAATAACGTAAAGCAAGTAATACAAGAAGTAACTCAGAGATAAAATGCTGAGCTTAATCATGATTTTTTGAAAATAGTTCTACCTTTCAAGTGTATCAGTGAAAACCCAAGTCGTTTACCGAAGTTGCCAAAAATATGAGTAAGTTTGAAAATGGTAATTTTTTCCAAAACTCCTTCCAACAATAAATAAGATGTTTCCTTTTCTTTCCAGATAGCCAGTATAAAATGCATCACTATTTCCATATGTCAATATGTGTGGGAAGTCATGAATGACGTGATACCGTACAAGATGAGAAAAATATATCTCTATGCATGTATGTCATGTGTGCATGTCAATGCAATGTATCTCAGAGATGAACTCATGTACTCATACTCTCAGAGTACTCAATCTCACTGTCTCACACTGTCCACTCATCATGCTCAATCACTCGGTACTATATATGGCCAATCCGGCCTAGGGAAGATCCATCCCGGAATATATGCATCATCTGAACATCAGTCACTCAGTACCGAGTAGTGCCAATCCATCTAGTGGGGAAGATCTATCCCCAAGTATAAATGCTTCGGATAAGATCCATGTCCAGGGAAGATTCATCCCTCAATATAAAATCAACCACACTCACTGGGGATGTGTGCAGACTCTGGAGGGGCTCCTTCAACCCAAGCGCTAAAATTCTCACGGACAACTCACGTGCTGCGCGGACAACTCACGTGCTATAGTATCAATATCTTAAAATCAGGCCCTCGGCCTCACTCAGTCATCAACCTCTCCAGTCTCTCTCGGGCTCACAATGACATGAACTAGCCCAATCATGTTTATATGATGTATCAATAAATAACAACAGAGACTGAAATATGATATGCAATGAATGAATATGACTAAGTATGACATTGCAATGTAAGCAAATAGCTCAACATTAATAATGACCTCAGTGAGTCCCCATAGAATAAGCATGTAGCCTAGACATGGTTTCTAACATAAATCGCAGCTCGATAACTCTAGTACGTAGAGATTTCATGATTAAAGATAAGTTCAGGTAACTATACAGTACCACAGAAATAACGGAGTCACAGTACACACAGTACACACCCACACGCTCGTCACCTAGCATATGCGTCACCTCAACACCAAACAAATAACACGTATAGTCAGGGTTCATGCCCTCAACTCCAAGATTAGAAGAGTTACTTACCTCGAACAAGACGAATCCAATGCCGAGCAAGCTAAACAATGCTCCAAAAATTCCATTATGCACGTATCAACTTCCGAACGCTACATATCTCCTCAATTCAAGCCAAACGATCTGTATCTATTCAAACAAAGCGCAAATTAATCACAATTTACTCCAATGCTTATAATTTAACAATTTACAAAAATTTCCAACTACGCTCGAAAAATTGGCAGTAGGGCCCACTTCTCGGAATCCGATGAAACTCATAAAATCCGACAACCCATTCAATTACGAGTTCAACCATACTAATTTCACTCAAATTCTACTCCAAGTCAATGCTCAAATCTCATAAATTCATTTTATGAAATTGTAAAAAATTTTCCCGATTTCTCTTGAAAAATCAATAATCTAACGCCGAAAACGAAGATTAATTCATGGAATATAATCACTAGGGAGTCAAGAACACTTACCCCAAGTTGTGTGGAAAATTTTCTCTCCAAAGTCCCCCAATTCTAGCTCCAAAATCCGAAAATGAAGAAAGAAACCAAAACCCATGATTTTATCTTATGTCGAGTCATTTCGCTTCTGCGGACACAAGATCCGCTTCTGCGACACGAGCTCTGCTTGTGCGGACTCCACTAGCCAGCCAACTCCTCGCACCTGCGGATTTCCATCAGCTTCTGCGCAACCGCAGGTGCAAAGCCAAACGCGCGTCTGCGCTCCTTCTCGCTTTTGCGCCCAAGGCCCTCGCTTATGCGGGGTCGCAGATACGCTCCAATTTCCGCTTCTGCGATCTTCTCAGCCAAGCCTACTTGCACTTCTGCGATCAACTGTCCTCATCTGCGCCCATTCTTCAGCAGATGCGGAAACACCAGAACCAACATACCTCGAACAATGCAACATGAAGCAAAAATGATCTTAACCTCATCCGAAACTAACACGGGCCACCCGGGACCCCGTCCAAATATACCAACAAGTTTCATAACATAACACGGACCTACTCGAGGCCTCAAATCATATCAAACAACACTAAAACTATGAATCATACCCCAATTCAAGTTTAAAGAAACTAAGAAATTTCAACTTCTACATTCGACGTTGAAACCTATTAAATCAAGTCTGATTGACCTCAAATTTTGCACACAAGTCATAAATGACATAACAGACCTATTAAAAACTTCAGAATTGGACTCCGACCTTATCAAAAAGTCAACTGCCCGGTCAAGCTTCCAAACTTAAACTTCATATTTTTGCCATTTCAAGCCTAATTTAACTACGGTCTTTCAAATAATTTTTCGGACACACTCCTAAGTCCAAAATTACCATACGGAGCTATTGGAATTATCAAAACTCTATTTCGGGGTCGTTTACACATAAGTCAACATCCGCTCAACTATTTCAACTTAAGTTTTCATGTTGGAGACTAAGTGTCTCAATTCATTTCAAAACCTCACCGGACCCGAACCAATTACCCCGGCAAGTTATACAATAACTGTAAAGCATAAATTGAACAGTAAATAGGAGAACGAGGCTGTAATACTCAAAACGACTGGCTGGACCGTTACATATAGTCTAGTGCTCCATTACTATTTGAAAGAGTCCGTATATAAGTGTGTGTATTCATTTTCTATTACCCCTTTTCCTCTCTTTCGTGACCCCCAATGGAAAATTATTTATAACTTTGAAAAAAGTACTTGCCTACGTTTTAAATTTTCACTGTTTTATAGTTTACTATAGGTACTAAGATAAAAATAAACACAATTTAACTTTATTAAGAGACAAAAAACTGCTATTAGACAAATCTAATATGTCATGTGTTTATTGAGTAGCAACGTCAAAGCATGAATTATAAGTTTTTGCCGTTAAAATAATACGGGCTAGCCAGTTTTTGGACTGGTAATTTAAAAATAGCCACCAATTGCAAAGTTATTGAATAATAGCCACTATTTTACTGCAACACGGAAAGTTCCAGTATAATATACTGGAGATTGATGCACATGTGTATGAATATTATGCTGGAACTCCAGCACACGGAAAGTTCCACATAATATACTGAAGATTGGAGTATATGTGTATGAACTTCCAACATATTATACTGGACCAATATATTATGCTGGAACTTCAGTATATTATGCTGGAAGTTCACATGTAAAAAATTCGAACTCCAGTATATTATGGTGGAATATTTTTCAGATTTTGAACAGTATTTTCGTTCAAATTTATCTTTACATGAAAATTGGCTAAATTTTGATTACTTTTGAAATTGTGGCAATTTTTCAATTACCACCGGCTATTTTTGAATTTCACCGGTATTTGCACCCAGGAAAAGAGAGAAATCATTTATTGGACTCGTGGAGATAAAGCCGATCAGATCGAGGCCAAATGTGGAATAATTTCTTGCTATCAACAAAAATGTGTTGGGGAAGGAGAATTCAGAACAATACATGTAAAGGAAGCAAAGCGGATTTGAAACATGGCGTGGTAGGGCTTGCAAAAAATGAGGTATTTGGCAATTGGATATGGGATCGAAAGAGAAATTGAGAGTAGTCTAGATGATCTAGAGTATTACTCAACTCTAATGTGATTTTTATTTTTGCTTTATTCAATTTTTTGCACGCAAGCTATATAGAAATAGCAGTATTTATTCCTGCACGACCTAATTATAAGTAATATTTTACTTCCAATGCCTGGTTTTTTCCCAATTTAACATGCATTATAGAAAGCGAACAAAAGCTGAGTACGTAGCAGCGATAATATTTCAATAATCTCAACTTCAAACATAATGAAGTCGTGGAATATTGAAATCTGAAATCCAAAAGAAATGTAAGCTAAAAACAGGATAAAAGTACTGCATAGCCTCTAACTTTAGTGAATGAATGTGTTTATTTCAGCCCGTAGCACCTCTCCAGTCTGCGGACAGAACAGATTTTAGAGGTCTTACGATAACAAATTATCAATTTTAAATAATAGAAGAATGCTACTGGCTGTCTTTGGTTCTCAGTAACAAGACAAAATCACATTAAAACATTCTAAATTATACATTTCTTCGAATTTTATCATATGGAGTAATATAATTAGGCTGCTCTAATGCCCCAAAACTAGAATATTAGCAACTATTGCAGATTCTGAAATAAAATCATCTTGAAAAAGTAATCCAGGACATGTTGCAGTGTCTTATTCACAGAGGACCAATTTATGTGTACTAAAATTGTTATATTATTCGTGATGTAGGCGTTCATGTCAATAAAACGGGAGAAGTGCCATTCTAATATAGTTATAGATGCTGTCCATTCTAATCAGAGATCTTGGTGCCAGCCAAAGTGCCAAAGGCTCCAAACAACGTATCTTCCAACTACACAAATAACAAAAACAGATAAATTCATCGACTAAAAAGGAGTACACTTTCAAAATAAAGTGCAGATGAACCAAGTGAATTAGAGTTAAAAGTAATATCAAAATCTTGTTAGTTCTTCAATTTTAGTTTGCTATTTGTTTCTTAAACACACAAAATGTATTTCTTAAACCATCAACTTTATCCATCTCAATTGATTCAAGATGGAAAGCTAGCAGTTTGCAGTTGAAAAATCAGCTAGAGATGGGAATATGAACCCCATAGCTCAATTTGCATAGAGCTTTCATTTAATAATCATTTACTTTTAGTTTGATGATCTTTCAGTCATAACCAATCTTTATTCAAACTCCATTTACTGCCCTCTCTATATATGTATATATCCCGAGGATGATTTACCTATTTAAGGTCTCTGCCAAAACCGTTCAGGGCCATTTGAATGTCCACCTTCTTAATTTGAATATCCTCCGCCTTGAAGAGACGTCCTTGAAAACCACGAAACAATGCACTTTCCAATGCCGTCTGTAACAAACCTTCAACATCGACTAAGCTAAGTCCTTCTGTCGCAGAAGCTGCACATCAACCGTTTATTCAGTCTCTAGACTTAAATATCCATAGTTATCAAATCTTAGGACACAAAAATAATGATACATCCTATGGAACTAACCTATGGCTGAAAGGTCTATGTCAGTATCGAAAAAGAATCTTCTCTGCATCCTTTTCGCTTTGACTTGCAGAATCCTCAACCGTGCATCTTCATCTGGTAGACCTAATTGCAAAAGCAGTTCAAATCGCCCTGGTCTACAATCACACCAAGATATGTCAACTAAGATATATTGAATATATAGAGAAACAGAGAGGCCATGAAAATCGGACAAGTTACTTTACTTTCCACTTCAAAACTATTTGGAATAGAATATGAATAGCATATTAATGAAGTTAAGAGAGAGATCATTGGAGAAATGTATACCTCAACAAGCCATCATCAATCAATTCAATCCTACTAGTTGTCCCCACAACCAATAGATTGGTTTGTTCCCTAACGCCATCAACCTAGTCTCGTTAAACCAACATTAGTTAGTCATACACAAATAACTTAGGAAGCAAAGTCATTCATAGAGTTGGCGGAGGTGAAAAGCATAGAGGTATTGAAGCATACCAATGTTGACAGTTGGCTCACTATCCTATCAGTTACCGAGTTCGCACCTCTTTTCTGACGTCAAAAACCAAATTTAAGTTAGACACTGAAATAAGCACCCAAAAGAAAGAAAGAAATCAAGCTAAACGACTAGGAAATGCTTACCGCTGCAAAGGCATCAATTTCTTCAAAAATGATTACATGAACAGGACTTTCTTCACCTAATATGCAATATGTATCATCAAATAACGCAACATATCCACTATATAAACAACATAAGAATTATTATCTTACCTTGAAAGACAGTAAAAGCTAATAATAAGAAAGTTCTACCCCGAGACTACCCGTGGGCTCAAGAAATAAATTTGGTCTTAGGTCTTTATCCAACATTTTATTCGATAACAGATTGGTCACTGAGAAAAATATATTTCAGTTTGATAATTGGCGACCTGTGCAGCCTCTTCATTTTAATTTATACCTATATTCTCTAACATCACTTTAACGATTGCAAATGGAAACGAATCTAGAGATGCTATATAGCTTATATTAACTCTACAACTGCCACTGATTTGCCTAGTGGGAGATACAGATGCACTTTAATAAACAGTAGTCGGATCACACAATTTACATTAGCTAGAAACAGAAACAACCAAAGATGTAAGGAATTAATTTCTTATTATAGAACCCAAATTCTAACTTTTCAAAGCTAGAGAAAAGCAATGAGGAGGAAAAACTAGAACCACAGAGGACATCATATTCTTACCCATTTGCTCAAGATCTCTAATTGATGGAGCAAAAATATCTCTCAGATTCTTTTCACCTGATCCTAGGAAAGTGCTTATGATCTCCGGCCCTCTCACAACCTAGAAAAAAGATAAAAGGAAAGATAAGAATAAAGTCAATAATTAAAAAAAAAAAATGACTACCTTAACATTACAACCTTTAATTTTGCATTGAGAATTTCCGATATGCATCTCGCAACCAGTGTTTTTCCTGTTCCAGGTGGTCCGTAAATGATTAATCCTTTCATAGGTTGGAGCCTTAACCTTCATTCATTAAAACAACCATCAAATACTTGATAGTAAGCTCATCAAGTTTACGGAAAATCTAATTTGATAAAAATGCTTACTCTCTAGATAAATCCCGAGGTAAGGTACGAGGGAGAACTAAGCTCAAAATGATATCTTTGAATTGGTTGTTAGGTCCCCCAAATCCCATGGACGCCATTTCTTCTTCAAGCTCCTCCATAGTGAAATTTCTCCTTAAAATTTCTTTCGTAACTTCTTTTTGACCACAAGCCTAGCAAAAAAGTGAATGACTCCGTATACTTAAATAAAAGCACTTGGAATCCAAATTACGAACCTTCTGAAATTTCTTTCTTAATGTTAAATAGAAAGGAACTTTTAGCTCAAAACTTTATCGTCCAAGCAAAAGCTTTGCCAAATTTTAAGGACTTTGAAACTGAAAATTGGAAAAAAGAAGAAAAATTATAATTTATGAAGTACCTCTCTATGTTTTTTACTTAAGATATGCCACCATTTCCTGCGCTTCGGTACTCTGAATTCGGTAAAACTAGAGATTTTAGTCGGGTCTATTGTGTCTTCTATGTCAGTATCTTCATGTTTAATGAACCTCAAACAGCATTGTACACAATTCCAGTTCCTAATTGTCCGACTGCAAAAAGGTAGGCAACAATTCGAGCAAATTTTTCTCTGTAGAATTAAAATCCTTAAACTATAGTCTTAGTTCATATATAGCAAGTGGAAGATCTGGCTAGTCATGGTTAATGGTTTACGATTTACCTTTCCACCGTGGCTCCCTGCTCGGTTGTTTTCTGACTGCATATCTCCGCAGTTGCCGCCTGACTTCTAAAACGGGCAAGCTTAGCTTCGATAGCCTTCTTCAATTTTATGCACACCTTAAATGCTATGATAAATGGCCGTCCCAAAACGGACCTGAAAGAGGAAGGATCGTTTATTGGGTTTAGATCATTCAAAGTTGGGGTTTGTTAAGAGACTCCTCTTCTAAAACATATGCACTGCACTAACTAAATTCACAAGATTAACCTTTTAATTTCTCCATTCACTCAGAATCACGGAAGCATAAAAGTATTTAAAAAGTAAATTTGTTCCTTCCCTGTACGATGACACCTAATTAGTCAGAGAGAGCAATTTTAACTTCTTATCTTCCAAACTGACTGCTCGTTCTCTCGACATGTTTTAGCGTTGCTTTAGTTCAGTGTAACAAGATTTACTTTTCTGGCTGGTACAGGTTTGTTTTCAATAGTCCTATTTGGTGCATCTCGTTTTGGTTCTCATATTTTGCAACAGTCAAGGGACCAAGATGCCTAAGCAAGCATAAGAATATATGTGCCTTTAATTTCTTTCAGATTAAAATAAGGATTCAATATTCGTTCTGAACTATGAGGACTTCAAGTCATCTTTAGGCTTTGACTCCACAAGGAAGTAATCTTTAGGCTTTGACTCCACAAGGAAGTAATGTAACACTAGCTTACCAAAACACTGTAGCGCTGAGGGCAAAATCTTGATATTGCAGTATACTAGACAATGCAAACCTTAAAATCTTAGATTAACACTATTAGTTTAAATACAAATCGTGGAGCAATATAGTTTGAATCAATGTTGTTTTTGCCTTCGGCGTAGGGACGCAGCGGGGTACGGCCGTACGGGGATAAATCTCAAAAAACTTACAACTTTAGGAACCAAGATTCAGTTTCCTTCGTATCATACGCAACAGTCACAGTAGCCTGCACAAACAGCATACAAATTTATAAAGGGAAAAAAAAGGAATGAAAAGGAAAAATCAAGTTTCAGTGAAAATAAGAGATCTTCTACAATATATAGCTACACTATAGGACTAAAAAAGACCACAAATAAGAAGATGAATCAAAACCTAAACTGAAAAGAAACAGAAGCTTAGGGTTAGCGAGTAAAAGGAACATTGCTAATTCTGAGGTAGAATCGCACAGTGCTATATTACATCGATGTTCGAAATTCTAGGTAATTGGCTTTTAGAAGTATTTCATAATCACTGCACACAACTATCTATTGAGTATTAGTCATTAAATCCCCATTGGACACTTCATCGATCAAATATTCAAATTCTAAGTGAAAGAACTTTGTTACATTTGAAACTTCCAAAACACATTCTATGTTGCCAGTGATGAATCTGAGCCGATACACAGCCGTGGGGAAGTGTTTGATAGAGGCAAAGGAGATTTAAACTTGGCCAACTAATTTTGATTAATTCTACTTGATGAAGTCTGGTGCACGTGGAATGTTCTAGATAATCAGGAGCATGCACACAAACAGCTCTACAGGATCACATGTGTATTTAATTATACTAGTCTATATTTTGCTATACGACTCTTTTTCAGTTTTAGTTTGTTACAGCTAGGCCAATAGGAGTTTGACACGTAGCATTAGCACTACACATTTTTATTTCTCAGTTGAGTTGTATATATATATATATATATATATATATATACACGATACATAGCAGCACAAAGAGGGAATCAATGAAATCATTTCTTCTCGTTCAAGTTTTCTAGAATCTTCTCTTCAATGGTTTCTTTTCAATTCCATCATGGTATCAGAGAAGCGATGGAGATCGAGATTACGTGAATCAATTCTCTTCTAATCCATTTCTGATTCCTATTGATTCTACGAGTCCGTTGTTCTTCTCTTCAATAATCCTTGTTCGATTTTTTTTATTGAATTCTCTTTCGTTCAATTTTCACTGAAAATGGGCAGCACAACAGAAACGATTTCTTCCCCATCAAACATGACTTCTCCGGCTAGTGCTATGGATTATTCTGATCCATATTTTCTGAGTTCGACCGATCACCCTGGTTTGACTATTGTATCTCAAGTTTTTGATGGTTCCCGCTATGGAGCTTGGAGGAGAAGTGTGCTGATAGCTTTATCTGTGAGGAACAAATTAGGTTTCATAAACGGTAGTATCAAAACACCAGATGAGAAATCAGCTCAGTTTGAGAACTGGAATCGGTGCAACGATATTGTAATCTAATGGCTTCTTAACTCCTTAAGCAAAGATATAGGTGACAGTGTTTTGTACTCCTCTACAGCAAAGGAACTTTGGGAAGAACTAGAGACAAGGTATGGACAGTCAAACGGAACTCAATTTTTTCAAATGCAAAAGGAACTTAGTAGTATTACGCAAGGAACTGATGATATAGCCATTTATTTTACTAGAATTAAACGAATTTGGGACGAATTGAAGTTTCTTCACATTTTCGAAATTTGTGGATGTGAGTGTAAATGTGGAGCTAAGACAAAGAATTTGAAGGCGACGGAAAATCAGAAGCTAATTCAGTTGTTGATAGGATTAAATGAGGCTTATACATTTATTAGAGGAAACATTCTTATGATGAAGCCTTTGCCTACTCCAAATGAGGCTTACTCTATTCTGTTGCATGAAGAAAAGCAACGTGAAGTTCATGCTTCTATACATTTTTCAGGACAAACCTCTTCATTCAATGCAGCAGGTACGAAGTTTCAAAATGCAAAGTGGAAAAACAGAGGTAATGTCCAGAAAGGCAATTTTGAGAATCGTAAAGGTGGAATATTTTGCAATTATTGTAAGAAATCGGCACATTTGATTGAAACGTGTTTTAAGTTGCACGGATTTCCTCCCTCTTTCAAGTTCACTAAGCAGAAGAGGACTTATGGAAATGCATTAGGGAGCGCAAATGCATCATTTGGAATTGAAGAAGGAGGTTCTTCTGAGACTAACCTGAATGTGAATCCCATGAGTATGGTGCAAGGCTTCTCAAAGGAGTAGCGTGATAAACTAATTCATTTACTTCAAAATCTTCATGCAGGTCAAGGAGTTTCTTCGGATTTTGAGGCTAATGTGACTGCTAACATGGCTGGTATGATAGCTGCCTTGTATGCCTTTTCTTCTCACCTCAATAAACTCCATAATAATCCCTGGATACTTGATACAGGGGCCACACAACATATGACTTATGATATTTCACTTCTTCATGACACCAAAGAATTGTCCAGACCTGTATATGTTAATCTACCAAATGGATACAAAGTTAAAGCTATTGGCATTGGAAAATTGCTTATTCCTCCTAATCTGATTTTAATAAATGTTCTATATGTACCAAGTTTTAAACACAGCTTGATCTCTGTACAACAATTGTGCACTCAACTTGACTGTTTACTGATTTTTAGCAAATTTGGTTGTTACATACATGCCCCTTCTCTGAAGAAGCTACAGGTGTTTGGTGAGACCACTGATGGACTCTATGTGTTGGACAATGCAGCTCCCAGTTCTAGTTCCAGTCTTTCTAATGTCAGTGTCACTTCCACTATTTCTGCTGAACCTAGTCTCCCATGTAGTTCCTTACAATCTCTACTTTCAGATGTTTTCAATGTAAGTCCTTTTGATTAGCGGCTTTCTAGCGACGTGGTGACTGAAGCTAATTCCATGAATAAAATTGTTTGTTCTATGAATTGTAGTACTTTGAGTAAATTGTGGCATCAACGTTTGGGTCATTTACCATACCCTGCTATGGGTAACATTACTGGAATACCTCACAAATTGAATTCTGAACAAAATGAAGTCTGTGTAATTTTCCCAAAAGCCAGACAAACAAAACTCCTTTTTCCATCTAGCTCTATAATTTCTAAACAAAAATTTGACCTCATTCACATAGACACTTGGGGTCCATATTCTACGCCCACTTATAATGGTCATCGTTACTTCTTGACAATTGTTGATGATTTTACAAGATGTACCTGGACATTTTTGTTATCCACTAAGTCAAATACTTTTCTTGTCCTCAAAGCATTCTTTGCCATGGTAGAGCGACAATTCAATGTCAAAATCAAGAAAGTCCGATCTGATAATGCATGTGAGCTTGGGTCAGGGACTACACATTATTAGTTTTTCTCCTCTCTTGGTGTTCTTCATCAAACCTCTTGTGCGGCGACACCACAACAAAATGGTGTGGTTGAACGCAAGCATAAACACCTACTTGAAATATGCCGGGCATTATTATTTCAGTCCAATTTACCTACCAAATTTTGGGGCGACTGTCTGTTAACAACTACATTCCTTATCAACCGATTTCCTTCAAGAATTTTGGGTAATGTTTCTCCTTACCAAATATTATTTGATAAACCACCAGATTACTCCTTCCTAAAATCGTTTGGTTGCTTGTGTTTTGCTTCTACACTCTCTCATGGGAGAAATAAATTAGATCCTAGAGCCACACCTTGTGTATTCCTTGGTTATCCCTTTGGAAAGAAAGGCTACAAAGTCATGAGCTTACAATCGAAGCAATTCTTTGTTTCCAGAAATATTAAGTTTCATGAACACATATTCCCTTTTCATTCTCCTCTTCCTATTTCATCAGTTATTTCTTCTGTTTACACTCGTCCTAATGTTTCTCCTTTCCCGCATCCAGTTCCTACCTCGTCTCCTTTGAATTCCTCTTCTATTTTTGTTTCACCTACTCCTATTTCTTCTGAATATATTGTATCATCCCCTCCTACATCTCCCACCTCTCCTACATCTACTGCATCACCTCTCACCTCATCCTCGTCTATTTCTATACCTTCTTCACCTGCTACTTCTCCTGCTCATGTTGCCGCGAGTCCAACACTACGAAGGTCCATCAGAGTAAGGCATACACCTAAGTACTTAAGTGAATATATGTGCAACACAGCTTCTCCATCTCCATCCCCTGTTGTTTCTTGTTTAAATTCCTTTTCTTTTACTGCTTTATCCACCCCAAATCAGAATATCCTCAGCACCCTTACCCATATCCAAGAACCTTCCACGTACCATCAGGCAGCTCTCCATCCAGGTTGGCAGGATGCACTGGCCAAAGAGTTCGAAGCTCTAGAGACTAATAGAACTTGGGATTTGGTTGAGCTCCCTCCTGGAAAGAAGCCTTTGCCCTACAAATGGATTTACAAGGTTAAGACTAAGTCTGATGGTTCTGTTGAGCGTCTAAAAACTCGATTGGTAATTCAGGGTGACATTCAGAGAGAGGGTATTGACTACACAAAGACGTTCTCACCTGTAGTTAAGATGGCTGCTATCCGGTGCATTCTCAGTGTCACTATTAAGCGCGATTGGCCTCTATTTCAGTTGGATGTCAATAACGCTTTTCTTCACGGTGATTTCGATGAAGATGTGTTCATGAGGCCACCTCCTGGACTGTCTGTTCCTTCTCCTCGTCATGTTTGTGACTCCGCAAGTCCTTATATGGCCTTAAGCAGGCTTCACGCCAATAGTACGCTTGCCTCTCTACTGCCCTTGTGTCTCGGGGTTTTATTGTGTCGCTAAATGATCACTCTCTGTTTTACAAGCACCGGGGATCTTTTTCTACGCTTATCGCTGTTTATGTAGACGATATTCTCCTCACAGGGAACAATCCCACTGAGATACTTGACCTTAAGCAGTTTTTGGATTCTGAATTTCGTATCAAGGATCTGGGATTTGCTCACTATTTTCTTGGGATGGAATTACTTCGCGAGCCCGATGGCCTCATTGTCTCCCAGCAAAAATTTGCTATTGAGTTATTGTCGGAGTTTAACTGTCTTCATTCCAGACCAGTCTCTGCTCCTCTGGACTCATCCCTCAAACTTACCTCTGCTACTGGTGTTCCTCTTTCTGATGCGTCGACATATCGGCGTTTGGTGGGCAAGCTTAACTTTCTAACCCATTCTCGCCCAGATTTGTCTTTTGCTGTGCAAGCTTTGAGTCAATTTATGCAATCTCCTACCCATGATCATTTTCAGGCTGCGCTTCACACACTTCTCTATGTTCAGGCCGATCCGGGTTTAGGCATTTTTATGTCTAAAGATCCTTCTTTTCAGCTGGTTGCCTATTGCGATTCTGATTGGGCATCTTGTGTCGGTACTCGGGCGTTCCGTTAGTGGGTTCTTTATTAGCCTCGGTTGTTGCCCAATTTCTTGGAAATCCAAAAGGCAGACAGTTGTATCTTTGTCATCGGCAGAGGCTGAATACCGTTCTATTCGGAGCCTTGTTGCGGAGCTCTTGCCGGCCCTCTTCACCGCTCTATTCTCTGCAAGTTGGGAGTTCGTGCCCCACCCTCCAACTTGAGGGGGGGTGTTGCCAGTGATGAATCTGAACCGATACACAGCCGTGGGGAAATGTTTGATAGAGGCAAATGAGATTTAAACTTGGCCAACTAATTTTGATTAATTCTACTTGATGAAGTCTGGTGCACGTGGAAGGTTCTAGATAAGCAGGAGCATGTACACAAACAGCTGTACAGGATCACATGTGTATTTAATTATACTAGTCTATATTTTTTGCTATACGACTCTTTTCAGTTTTAGTTTGTTACAGCTAGGCCTAGACATTTTTATTTCTCAGTTGAGTTGTGTATATATATANGTTCAAGTTTTCTAGAATCTTCTCTTCAATGGTTTCTTTTCAGTTCCATCATTCTAAGGAAAATGACTTCTAATACGTGTATACCAAAGAAGCTATCATTCGAAAATGTCCTGAGTTCTAGCTGAAAATGCTTAATTAGATACAGTCAATGAAAATCAAAAGGTGACCTCTCAATCTCAAGCAATGGTATCAAGTATCAACCTCTACGATCAAAGCAACCTAAGAAAGAAGGTATTGTATTCAATCGAATGCATAAAACACGTACCATCTTTGCTTCTAGTGTTCAGGATGCAGCAATGAGTGTCACAATAAATTGATGGATATGATGCAAGTAGGAAGAAGAATTTCACCTGCATTTTGTTTCCATGAAGGAAAAGTTCGTTAAAGCTAGACTATGCCCATTAATGATGTGTCTCCATTAAATATGAAGGATTCAGATCCCCTTCAATTCATATATAGTTGTGATTTAAGTCTAACTATGACAGGTACCTTCTCCAATAAGTAAATAGGACACATAGCAAACGACAATGGACAATGGGAATATAAAAGGCCAAGATCGTGATTTTTCTGGCAGGAGTGGATGAGGCTACAAAGATAAGAATACTGGAAGAAATTGGATTCTCTGTTGGAACTCTTCCCATAAGATATCAAGGATTACCTTTGTCACCAAGAAGTGGAGCAAGCAGGAATGTCATCAGTTGATTGTCAAGATCACAGCAAAGATTCATACAGTATCAGTTGGGCACTTATCTTATGCAGGAAATCTACAGGTTATAAACTCAGTGTTATACTTTGTACATAACTATTCGGATTCAGTGTTTACATTGCCACAAAGTATATTGAAAGAAGTGGATGGAAAGTGTAGAAACTATTTGTGGGGGGCTTCAGATGGAAAAAGAAAGATGGCACATGTAGCTTAAGACAAAATTTGTCTACCAAAGAAGAAGGGGGATTAAGTGTGAGGAATTGTAAACTCTGGAACAATGGCATGTATGTGGGAAAACTGAAATGGAAAAAGGATGTGCTTTGGGTCAAATGGGTTCATGGGATATATATGAAGGCTAATGGGGACTTTTGCACGCATATACCAATTGCAGACAGTAGTTGGTAGTGGAAAAGGCTGCATAAGATCAAACAAAAAATGGATAAACTGGTACAGCAATGGTAAATACACTCTGACCTCAACAGACAAATATTCTGTGTCCGCCAGCTATTTCGGGGCTCCAGGGAACAGGCATGTCATGGATGGAGCAAACCTGATGCGGAATTCAATTCTGATGCCAAAACATAGATTCTGGATATGGCTAGCAGTGCAAGGGAAACTGCTGACTAAAGAAAGACTATGCAAAATGGGGATTGCAAGTGACAACACCACCGGTTGTTTATGTGAAGAAGATGCAGATGAAACTACCCAACACTTATTTGGTGAATGCCCTTGCTCTAAACTTGTATGGGGAGAAATCAGCAGCTGGAGTGGCCTAAAGATCAGCCATAATGACATTCTGCGCAACATACTATAGAGAAAGAAGAAGCATTGGAAGAGATTCAAGAAGGAGACTATGGTAGAAGTTTATGGAGCATTTGGATATCATATTTGGATAGCCGGAACTGGAACATTTTCAGAAATATAGTGTAAAGAAAGATGTTTTAGTACAAGAGATTAACTAGAATTTAGGGAAAGAGTGGATACACTTGTTACTTATCGTTTCATAATGTATCGTATTGTATTATATTATATTGTATTGTTTTGATGAACACAACATTTGGATATATTGTATGGGGAGCAATGTTGCTCGGATTCTCTGACAATGTTGCCGGATACGTGTCGGATTCTCCAAAAGTAGTGCATCTTTGGAGGATCCGATACGGGTACGACAACATTTTAGAAAGTCCGCGCAATATAGATGAGGAGAAATCCGCAGCTGGAGTGGCCTAAAGATCAGCCATAATGACATTCTGTACAACATACTACAAATAAAGAAGAAGCATTGGAAGAGATTCAAGAAGGAGACTATGGT